CCCGCACGTGGTGGTCCTCCGCCGGATTTTGGAGAAGGGCGCGCGCGCACACAGACACGCACGCACGCACGTCAGGCATCCCATGATGGGCACAGGAGGCACGGTCCAAACACGACACTGGCACTGCCCCCGTTCTCCTCCAGCCCACTGGGTGGTCACTGTCCTGCAAGGCTGGGCCCATGACCGGCGGGTTTCCGCTGGACAGTGGAATGGCACCCGGCAGGGTGAAAGGAGCAGATGTCCCGGGAAGCCGCTGCCCCGCATTCCTGAGGAGTCTCTGGGGTTTCTTTTGTCTTGGCAGTTTGGTAACTCTTATTCGACATCCATCTGAATTAATGAATGTTCCTCTTCATCAGCAACAAAACAAATGCACCACGTTAGTGAAGAATAAAACGGCCGCCGCCACGACCGCTTTGCAGTTTACCTACCCGCTGTTCACCACAAATGCCTGCTCTGCCGCCAACGCTAACCTTTCTCAGACGCAGGTAGGGACGCGAGCTCGTTCCGGGGCGTTTCAAGTGCCTTCCAGTTAGGTCCCCAAGCTGGCTTGCTTTCCCGTGACTGTATAGTCGTGAGTACTTAACGTGGTGGGGGTTAGTGGAAAGTCCTGACGCTTGTCCAGGGCTATCTCTAGCTCTGACATTGCTTCTGCTAGCGGGCACTTCATTTGTGCGGTCGGTCAAGAGGAGACCCGGCCACCCAATGGTAACGCTGCCCTTCGTTTCCTCCCTCCCCCCAGAGTTCTGGCAACTCCTGCTCCATACTGGAAGCTGCCAAGCACCAGGATATTGGACTGCCTAGGGCATTTTCTTTCTGTTACCAGCAGGAAATTGAATCCACTAAGCAGACATTAGGCAGTAGAAACAAAGCTTTACCTGAGCAGGTGTGGATTAAAGTAGGAGGTAAGCTATACAGCAGAAGGTAGCAGTAGCCATGATTTTCTTCCAAATAAGACTTCACGTTTGGTGTCAGTTGGTCCTCCGGAGGGGGGAGCGGGAGCGGGGTCAGCAGGACAAATGCTTAGAAACAGACAGACCTTTCTTCTGTGTATGTGCTGCTTTCATGGGATCCTCACGTCTCATCTTGATGTTCTCGATGTCAGGCATCATGACACTTGGTGTGGCATCTCGGGTTTGGGGGTTACTTTTCCGAAAATAGTGAAGGGGGGCTCAGTAACTGGGGAATGGTGTTAGGTGCCATGGCTCCCACTCACAGGGACAGCGGAAGGGAGCACTGCCTGCCTCCGCCCACCCGGCCTTCCAGTGGGCGCCCCTGAGCCCGCTGGGGCAGCCACTCGGCCGGTCCCCCTCATTTCACTTTCAGCCCACTTCAAGTGGCACTGGAAACACTGAGCAGCGTTGTTGCCTTCTTGGCGTGAGGCAGGGGTCCAGAACCCGGCAGCAGCGTGTGGAGCGCTTAGTCGCCATACCAGACAAGCTGCGGAGGACACAGGCTGTCGTTGCTTCAGAACTCTGGAGGAACAGCTGACTGGAAACGCACTGCTGGCCCTCAGTGAACGCCCAGTCTTGTTTCCTGTGGAAAATCTACTTGTTTTCCAAAGTACACCAATACAGATAAATAGCACTTTTTTTCAAACGTTACTTTAAGATAGGCTGGGAATGGAAAGCTACATTTCTCCCGTGTCAGTTACGTTGTTGATGATGTTGTGGCCTGTTTTACGTAAAAGCATTCACACTGTGTAAAGATAACAGTCCAATAGCCTGCACTGGCTACTTGGCATACGGAGTGAAATATTGGCAAAGCCTCTGAGCTCCCTCGTGTGCCTCCCTGAAAAGTTCCTGCTGCTCTGACATTTCTGTTCAGGTATTTTTAACCCCCATGGAGAATTCAGCTCTATGGCATATCGGGGCACACATCTTTATAGACGATCCCAATGCCTGCGTTTCCCGTGTGTGCTGGAAATTTGACACTTCTGTGACGTCAGTAAGAACTCCGGTGGTGTCGCTCCTGGGTGGGGATGGAGACCTCCAGGGTGAGCACGTGTCTGACGCCGAGTCGCCAACTGTCATATTAAATAATTGTGTACAAAGAAGAGGCTTCCAAGAGGATTGTAAAAGACCATCTGGATGATAAACTGCCCAGAAGAGTGTTTCAGTTGTACGCTCACGTCGAGCTTGTTAGCGTGGAGGAGAGTGCGTGCTGCTTCTGAATTAGCTCCCACGTACAGCTGTGACTGGCTCGTTCTCTGTGCTGCTTGCCCAGTAATGTGTGTGTGTGTGTGTGTGTTGGGTTGAAAATGCCAGAAGAGGTGTACTCAGCATTAATGGGGATAAGTTAAGAAGACCAATTGAAATTAAAGTACCGCTTTTTTCTTCTTTTGCAAAGAAGAAGCGCTCTGTAAGCAAGCAATAAATAAGCGGCATCGGAGTAGAACACGTCAGTTGGACACAAATGTCGAGCGAAGAGCCCTGGGAGAGATCCAGAATGTGGGTGAAGGCGCCACAGCCGCACCGGGCGCCTGGCAGTCGGCGGAGCCCTCACAGCCCAACCTGGGGGAGCAGACGCAGAGCGGGCCCCAGGGAGGAAGGTCTCAGCGCAGGGAGAGGCATAACCGAATGGAAAGAGATAGAAGGTAACGCGCACCATTGCCTCGCCAGGCGGATCTCTGCGATTCTGGTAGAAGTGCGAGTTCCTGATAAGTAAGGCGACGGTGGCATTGGGTCTGGGCAAGAAGGGAGCAGGAGTAAATGTGAACTCAGGTGTGCCAGGTGGATCGGGGTCCCCAAGACCACTCCTCCCTCCCCAGGTTTCTCCAGGAGGATTCACGGGGCTCAACATGGAGTCACCCTCCTGGCTAAGGTTCATTACAGCCAAAGATAGGCTTAGCCAAGGGAAAAGGCTCCTGGGCCAATGTTGGGAACAGCACTTACAAGCACCCGAGGGTCTCCACCCAGAGGAGTCACACCGGATACCCTTAACTTCCCCAGCAATGAAGTGTGTGTGACAACACGTGTGAAAGCTCAGAGGCTCCTTGCCCCCTACCTGGGAGACACCTGGCCCCCTACCCACTCCCCAGGGGCCCCAGCAGAAAGCAGGTACTCCACATAGGCCATGCGATTTGCACAAACCGCCGAGGTGAAGTGGACCGTTTTTATCAGGGCTGGTGCTGGACATGAGAAGCCCTGGTGGCGGAGTGATGACGCATGGGGCCACTAACCACCAGCTGCTCCTTGGGAGCAAGGTGGGCATTTCTACTACCTTAAATAGTTGACAGGCTTGGAAACTCCAGGGCCAGTTGTACCTTGCCCTCTGGAGTCGCTCTGAGTTGCCACTGACTCAAGGGCAGGGAGTTTGGGTTTGGTGGTGGGCACTCTTGAAAGGATGCGCCAGCCTCGGAAGCGGAGCTTTGTCAAGGGAGCAGTCTGCCGCGACTGCCTAGTCTTTTACAGGATGTTGGGGGAGGAGGAGGTTAAACTGTTATTTAATTTGTCTTGCCTGCAGTTTTTATCTATTCATCTGTGTAAAGTCAATTGGTGGTTAATTTTCCTCTTGTTACAGTTGAGCTTTTACCCAGTGTTTCCTTAATCTGTATGTTGCTCTCTCTGCCCAACTTCCTCATGCATAAAATCGGGATAACATCGATCTCATAGGCTTGTGATTAGAAGAAAGTGAGGCGATAAAGAGTTTAGCTCCGTGCCTTAGAAAGCTGACTGCTGTGGTTTTCACCTTGCAAAGTCTGAGAGATGCTATGAAGTAGAGAGCAGGGGTCAGCAACTGGCCTCCCCTACAGACCCCAGCGACTCCCGAAACCTGAAATATTTGTTACCCGGCCTTTTTAAGGGGCGTTTGTCCACCCCAACCATGTCCTGTAAACACTTCATTTTTGAGACTTTTAAAATGCTTTCAACCTTTAAAAAAAAAAAGTAAAATGAAAATATACAGTTGTACAGATGAATAATGAGGGCTATTTTCTACACATTTAAACATATTACACTGTCATATGCAGGAGTTGGGTTGTGGGTTGGGTTGGGCGCACAGTATTGGGCACATGGGCGGCTAAGTGACCATCTGTTGTGATGAAAGCGTGGCCTTCCCAGAAAAGACATGTTTACAGATGGAGTCCAGTCCTTGCTCCGGGTTCCTGGGCCCTAAGTGAGGAAAAGGGCTAGAGCATGCCCGGCGTCCAGGCCAGGAGAGAGCAGGACCCGGGTGGGCCTAGGAGCCTGGTGGCATATTGCTTAAGTCCCTCAACTATTGACTGAGGACCAGACCCACTAGCTGCTTCTCTGGAGAAAAATGACACAGTTTTTCTAAAGGTGACAGCCTGGAAACCCTAAGGGACACTTCTACTCTGTCCTACAGGGTGGCCGTAAGGCAAACTCTCAGGCAAAGGGTTGGGTTTGAGTGGGACTTCTTGCGATCCCCCGCCCTGCCCCCAGCGCTCCATCCCTTGAGGTGATAGGATGAAGCCTGTCTTTCGCTCCTTCACCTCGTGACTTTGGATTCTGACTGCAGGCGCCGAATCCGAATCTGTTGCGACGAGCTGAATCTTTTAGTCCCGTTCTGCAATGCCGAGACAGACAAGGCCACCACTCTTCAGTGGACAACAGCCTTTCTGAAGTATATTCAGGAAAGACATGGAGATTCGCTCAAAAAGGTTAGTGTGCCACGGAGCCAGGCCCCACTCCCCGTGAGGTTCCTGTTTGTCCTCGTTCCTTAAGACACCATCTCGAGGTGCCCTGGCTGTTCGGAGACCCAGTCTCAAATCCTGAATCCAGTATGAGCAAAGTTCTACTTAGTAATTGAAAACTGTTCACAGCCCAGATTTGTTTCTACACGAAGTATAAAGTGAGTCCACGCGATCCCTTAGTTCGTGTGCCACGTTAAGCCCCCTGCATCTGCAGTGTGTGGCCCTGGGGCATGTGGAGGACATGGTCTTTGTCCTCAGAAAACTTTACTTTGTGAAAGTGCTGAAAGCAAGGTGCAGCAGCAACAACAAGCCACTGTCAGGACGAGTCGGGGGCCCAGATGCTCGCAGAAGGCAGAAGGAGAGGAACGGTTCCGGGCTGGTGGTCAGAGGCCTCTCGGGTTGGAACTGGTGGTGCCTCCAGGTCTCAGTGTGGCCGTAGCTGCCTTTTCCTGGCCCGTAGGTCGTGGTACACGGTGGCTCGCTGCACACGGGCTAGCCCGGCAGTAAGCGCCGTGGAACTGGGTGCTTGGTCTAAACAGGAGCTGTTGAGTTGGTTCGTTGGGGTTCAGATGAGAGGATGGGGGCCCCTGGGAGGTGCACCTATCCTGTGGGGGCCTGACCCCCTTTTCCTGGCTCTGAATTATGTCTTGAGGAGCTGCACCGTGAGGTGCTGGTGCAAGGGTGCACCCGTGCAGCAAGGGTCTGGCTACGGAGCAGAGCTCACCTTTTTAAAAAGGACTATGGGTTAGACTTTGAGGTCCAGACCCACCAGCTGCTATGTGTGAGGAAGGTGAGGCTCTGCTCCTGTCAGGAGCCCTGTGTGGGGTTGCTCAGCAGTGGCTGCTAACCACAAGGCCGGGTGCTGCAACCCACCGACTGCTCTTGGGAGAAAGAGGAGGCTGTCTGGTCCCGTGAGACTCACACAGCCACCGGGCGTCAAGGACTGGGTGGGAGTGAGCCCTGGGTCGGAGCAGACTCGATGGTGGTGGGTCTCCGCCTGCCCAGCCCCCCACGGCCCCACGGGCTCACGTGCTGCTGCCGAGTTGTGGGTAGGAGTTCATGCCTTGTCTTCCCCTTCTCAGTCTGACACTGAAAAGGCTGACAGTCCAGGAACCCTCAGGGGCGGCTCCACCCTGTCCTCTGGGGACTTAGGAGTGGCCGTGGACTGGCTGGGGTGAGTCTTGTCTGATAACCGCAGCCCTCACGCCAGATATGCTCTCCTGGGACCCGGACGGTCGTCTGGGCTGCACTTACACGTTACGTTCATTTGCTAGAGGTTTAGATGATTGGCTTGTTTTAATACAAGAAAGCTTGTAAACTTATAAGAATGGCTTAATGGTGGGCTCTGTGTACCTATGAGGAGTATATTGCTATTAATGTAACATAAAAATATGACGATGGCACTGAAAACCTAGAATTAACAAAATTTTGTGAACTATATTTCTGTGTATTCTTAACGATTAAATACATTAAAAGCCAGTTGATATTATATTACCAGCGTAATATAATGTTAGAGAGAGTCGTCCTCTAGGACATGATAGAACTGCCCCTTTTGGTTTCTGACACTGTAGATCTGTACTGGGACAGACAGCCTCAGCGTTGTTCTCCTGAGGAGCTGCTGGTGGGTTTGAACTGCTGACTTGGTGATTAGCAGCCCAGCTCACGGATGGTACCGGTACCCGTGCACGTGCGCATGTGCGAACAGCAGTGTGGGTCGCCGTGAGGCAGGACTCACTGATGGCAGTGAGTGTGTGCGCGTGTGTGTGTGTGTGTGTGTGTGTGTGTGTGTGTGTGTGTGTGTGTGAAAGGTGCGCTTCCTGGGTATTTCTGAAATGTGCTCACGTTGATTGCTTTCAGGACACGTATTAGACACAGGCCGGGGGGACCTGGAACAGAAATAACCGAAACCCAACTGACTCTTTTCTCGGGAGCTTTCACCCTTTGATTGGATGTTGGTTGTTGTGGAGAATGTACACCGCGGAACATCCACCAGTTCAGTGACCTCGACATTCTTTGAGTTGAGCGGGAATTTGCCCCTCCTCCTCTGTTTTATCCCCCCATTTACAATAAACTCACTGCCCCTAAGGTTTCTGCCTGTAACTTGTCAGCTCTTCCCGTGATCCGGGTGGTGCCGAGTGCCACCTGCTGGGAACGGGGGATGCTGCCCGCCTGCTCCTGCGCCACCTCACGACTGCTGCTGTTTGAGCCCACGCTGGCAGCCCCTGGCTCCTGTGTCAGCCCGCCTCCTTAACGTCTCCCTCTGGTTCGCCGGCCTTCGCCAGGGGCTGTTCTTGTCCGAACTGTGAGGCCGGGTCTCCAGCTCGTCTTGCCTCGGAGGAGAATCCTTTCACGTCACATCTGCTTGTTCTGTGGCAGTAATCTTCCCCAGCACCACCACTCCCACGCACGGTTCCACGTGCGACGCTCGCAGCGCGGCCGTTGAAAATACCGTGGCTTGAGTCCTCAAAGTCATAGCCTTCAAACGTTCTAACGGGGTCTTGTGCAGCAGATTCATTGTTTGCTTTCTTGTCGGCTGTTCCCCTGAGCATTAGTTGTGGATCCAAGCCAAATGAGATCCTTGACAACTCTGACTTTTTAACGATGAACGTGACCTCCATCGTTCCTCTTGGATTTGTCGTTTCTGCATTTTAAACCATATGATTGTCTGATTCCACATGGCCAATACCAGTCCGTTTCCGCTCACTAGTGCTTGGGACATCGGCCTCTGCACACCCGGTTTCACTGTGGACCACTTCTGACTTCCCCAGATGTGGACTTGTACTTTCCATGTCCTGAGTGCTGATGGATGTTGGCAGCCCCTGCTCTGTCTTGAGTTGTGGCCCCGCAGCACTGGGAGGATCGCTCCACCCGCCGCCAGGAGGCAGCTCTTCCCCAGCCTTAAGCGCAGTGCCTTCCGACCAAGTCTCGTCTGCTGCGGTGCATACGGTTCCCGTGGCCAGTCCCTCAGAAGGAGGCAATCCGTTCTTAGTGTAAAAGTCCTCCAGAAATGCGGTCACCTTGGGGGGGGGCCCCCCCGATGTGGTATTGAACCCCGCTGTGGTATTGAAATGCCAGCATGGAGCAGTGTGGAAACCATGACAGCGACAAACAGGCCATGTCGTTTCTGAAAGAGCATCATGCTCAAGGCGCCCTCTTACCAGTCACGCAGAACGATTCTTGACCTGAAGGAGACAAGAGTGCTTCTGGCTGAAGGTTAAAGATGATCTCAGGACAGCCGTTTCGGGGGCTCGCGCACACTCCCTGGCTCCAGGAAACCTAGCCTCCCTGTGAGTTTCTGCACTTCCGCCTTCTCATTAGGATTCGTCTGTGGACTCTGGAATGTTCAGGGTTGGTGGCTGGGGCCCCATGCAGGTCTTGCGTCTCACAGCAGAGAGGCAGTTAGCCACACTGTCCCTGTCCCCCTCCTCTCAACTCGGGTGCTGCTGTGGGTGAAGCCAGGCTCACGCTGTGGGCCACGAGCCCAAACACACTATTAGGCCAGTGAGCTGGGATGTCCCAGAACCCAGGAGCCTCACGCTCCCAGCCAAGGAATCAAGTCCCACAGGAGTTAGGCACAGGAGCAGCCTCTGATCTGTGCTTTCTTGGTGGTGGTGGTTCAGGGTTTTCAACGTCCCTGCCGCACCCCTTGCCAGCTCAACTCGTAACAGGCCAGCTTACTGACGGTGGCTTTGTCCTTAGTGGTGCAGTCGGTGGGGGTTGTCCTACATCCAGCCAACCTTCCCTGCTGCAGATGCTGCACTCCTTAGACAGTGTGTCCCTGCTCACCCGGGGCTGGACAGGAGCCAGCACACAGAGCCAGACTGCCAGGGGCCTTCTTTACACTGGAGATGAGGGGTCGAGGAAGACCTCTGAGCCCAGATCCAGAGGACCAGCGGCCTGGCCAGGGAGCTGGAGGGGCCCGTCCTCTGAGGTGCACCATGTGGGCAGAGGTGGCAGCCTGTGTGTGGGTCTAAACAGGCTGGCATTGTGCAGAGCCAGCTGCATGACTGCACAGGAGGAGGGGCAGCAGGATCCAGCAGGGGCTCTGGTGAGAGGTAGCCTGCCAGTAGTAGTGGCAGACATGAGGAAGACAAGGCTTCATGCCGCCTGCTGCGGGCAGAGTATGGAGCCTGGGCAAGTGACGGTCGTGCTCTTTCTCGTGAACGGTGAAGGCCTGGAGCACGTGCTTTGCGTCATCACGTGGTCTCGACATTCAGCTCCACATTCACTGTGCGTGTGCCGAGTTTAAAGAACACAACAGGCATCCACTGCCCTCGTGGACAAATAGTTCTACATCTGCCGAGGGCAGCCGGTCCGCCCCCCATCCCCCCCTAAGGTTTCATACTTACGCCCGTCCGCCCGCCCGCCCCGCCCGCACTCGTAGGTCCCGAAGTGACTTTCATTTCCAAGCCAGGATGCAGCCCTGCTTCTGCACTGCACTGCCGTGGGCCTCCCTCTCTCCCAGCCGCAGTCTCGCCCACCAGCCACACCAGACTCATGCCGAGGGCCGTGCCGCCCCACAGCAGCCAGTAGCACAGGGCCGGGGAGCTTCTGAGACTGTAACTGTGAGGATAATGAGCCCGTCCTTCTCAGCGGAGCTCCTGGTGGGTTCCAGCTGCTGACCTTGCCGTCGGCTGCCGCCCCCCGCCCGCGGAGATGTTTGTAAAGGACTGTCCTGACCGTTCGTAGCTTACCTCGGCGTGTGGAGCGCATCCACAGGCCATGTAACTACCACTGTCTCAGTTCCTCATCTTGTTTGTCACCCAAAATAGAAGTCCAGCACCCATTGAACGGGAGAAAGAGAGGGCTCTCTCCGCCCATAAAGAGTCGCAGCCTCGGAACCCACAGGAGCAGTTCTACCCTGTCCTATAGGCTGCTCAGTCGGCCTCGCCTCGATGGCAGTGAGTTTGCTTATCTTTACCTATTAGACGAAAACTCCATTCCCTGGCGCTCAGGCACCAGGAATCTACTGCCTTTCTTGACGTGTTTGCCTCGTGAGAGACTCCGTTATCAATGCTTGACTCAGGATGGACTGACTGTGCTTATCTGTGGATGGGGACGAGGGCTGCACCCACCCTTGGGTTGCAGTGACTGAGGTATACAAGTATCTGTGTCCCTGCTCCCGGGGCACCTGGTACCCTCTTAGGCGTGGCCTTGCTGGGCCCTCCCCGCAGGGCTAACGTTCTGAGAAATGCCACTGTCTTGCCCCGTTAGCCTTTGTGACACTGACATTAGGAGGAGACCTGCCTGGCTGGCTACAGCACTGCCTGCATTCTGGAGTTAAGGACTCGGCTGGTGTGCCCATGAGGACGCTTCATTGTGGTGGCATTTTACGCTTTGCCTAGAATTCTCTCTTTTTCATAGTGGTGGTGAAGTGGGTTCCAAACTGGGCCACTAATCACAGTTCAGTGGTCCGAACCCAGCAGTCGCTACACAGGAGAAATAGGAGGCTCTTCTTCCGCCCCGAGACCCCGGCAGTTCCGTCCGGCCCTGTGGGGCACTGTGCGTCGCTCCGTCCAGCAGATGCACCTGCGACACGTGGGTGGTCGGTCTGACCAGGCCAGTGCCACCAAGTCATCGTGTGGCTGCCTCTTTTTTAATGTGAGAAGGCTTCGCAGTGCGGCCACTTGGAAAATGTTCTGGGAAAAGGAGATTAAAATGCACTGCATTGGGGAAGCTTGCCGGTGAGCCGGTACCTGGCTTGGTCTTTGCTGGAGCGCTCTCCCCAGCGCCCTGCAGCCTTGGGTCCTTTGAAGACAGCAGCGTTGTAGCAAGGTCCGGTTGCAAACCCGAACTCAGCACCTCTGTGGTCATTTCTCGGCTTTAGGAATTTGAGAGTGTCTTCTGTGGGAAAACGGGCAGAAGGCTAAAGTTGAGCCGACCAGACCCCCTGCTGGCGTGTCCTGCCCAGGAAGGTCTACAGAGCAGCCCAGCGATGGAGGTCAAGTGATCTGAACTGGACACGGGCTCTTCGGAAGTCAGCCGCTCCCCCATCCCGGGGCCTGGAATTTCTGCAGCCCATCTCCCACCCCCGCCCCTCCCCGGAGCTCTGCTCCGAGCGCAATGCGGAAGTGACATGGCCCGCGTTGGCCAGGACGCCGGTAGGGACTTGCAAGCACGTTTTGTAGCGATACTTACCTAGAACAGGATACTTGCCCGTCAATGTCCACTTAGACCACTGGGGAGGAAGACATCTTGACACAATTAGTAAGTAAATTTTCAATGATCTGTCTGATGCCATCATGTTTTCCTGACATGATAACTTAAAAATTAACATCCTTTGTAATTGGTTTAAAGGGTACATTGCTTTTTACTTATTTTTGTGTACATTTTCAACATGCCCATGTAGCAATTGGAACCGGTTACATTGTTTTTGCCCTAGAAGTAGTTTGGTCATTTTATTTCATTTCAGTTTTAGCACCCGACCCTCCCGGAACAATTCCCACTCTGAAGCTCCTGTGTTGCAAAACACAGTGCTATTTTAAACCTTTTTTTGGCCAGGAAATTTCCAGAGACCCCTTTTAAAACGACCTTTGTCCATAGATGCAAGAAACCCTGCCGCCCCCAGAGTGCTAAGCGCTCACGTTCCGTCTCGTCAGAGACATCCCTTTGTGTGTAATAAATGGTCGTGTTTGGAACTGAGGTTTTCCAACGAGTGGCTTTATTTAGCGCAATCAGTACCACCAGCAGACTTAGTGCAATATAAAGTCACCTCCAATAAATACTGTTTGGCAGAGGCAGGCATGAGTCTACACTGACGTGGCAGTGAGCCGGACACTGTCTCTGGAGAGAAGGGGTGGGCCGTTAGCGGCCGTGTGAAGGTGCAAAGTATGACCTTTTGGGCATCTTAGTGTAATCTTCACCCAGCACTCTGTAAAAAAGCTGCTGAATATTTTGGTCTCGTGGAATCGGACAGAAGTTCCCACATTATACTGGGTCCCTCTCCCACGATGGGGTGGGTTTCCCGTTTGATTACATGGGCCTGTGTTTGAGGTCTGACAGGTGAATGGGCCACCCCTGCAGGACACGGAGAGGCGGGCAACGTGTGGCAACAGCTGAACATGGTCCTTTGAGGAGGCCTACTGACAGGCCAGGCCAGGAGGGCTTTCCGGACGTCTTGAGTAGACTGCTCCCGCTGTCCGTGGTGTTTGGCCTCCTCCTGCCCAGTTTTATGAGCTTCTGGGGCCTGACTTCTCTCCGCCCCCACCCAGCACAGCTCCTTGGCAGGCTGACGTGTCACAGATCCCAGGGGTGCCCTGAGCCCCAATGGCGCCGGGAATGCCAGCGTCGCCAGGGGGTCCGGGCTCGCCGTGGGCGCCATCCTGACCGTCTTTGCTTGTGCCAGGCACCCCTGGTGGACCTAGAGGACACGCAGGGATTAGGGGTGCAGTGCGGGCCTGCTCCTACCTCCACCCAACCCCTCTCCTTCCACTTAGTCCCTGGATCATGGGGCAAGGGACAGCCCTAGACCTGCAGTGCCACCTGCGGTCGGATGAGAGTGGACAGGAGGGGAAGCTGCAGACCCGGTGGGAGACGAGGGTCTTTGGAGGTGGCAGGGGTGACAACTGTGTAGGTTTGTTGGGGCGCAGCCAGGTCTCTAAGTGAGGGGGTAGAGGGCTTGCCTAGGATTCTCAGCCCAGAGATGGCCCTGGAAGCTGAGTGTGGGGAAGGGGTAGAAGCAGAGGCCACCGTCCTTAGGCCCTGACAGGAGGCCCAGGCTCAGGGGGGTGGGTGGGTGTCAGCATGACCCCGAGGAGACACCTCCACCTCCTTGACAAATCACCGACACTCAGTGTCTAAAATGGACACAGCCAGTGTCCGTGTGGGAGCTGCTCTGGTGGCTCAGTGGCTAAGCACTCAGCTGCCAACCCCAAGGTGGATGGTTTGAGCCCCCCAAGCGCTCACAGGAGAAAGATGAGGCTGTCTGCCCATGACGGTGCCGGCCCTGGAGACCGTGGAGCAGGTCGGCCCTGCCCTTGGTCACGCAGCCTCGGGATCGGCCTCAGCGGCGTGGGTGGGTCAACACAGCAAATTCTGCTTGGATTTAGCAGACAGTCGGGCCACATAAGTAGAACTTAACCCACCCCGGGCACAGGCAGTGGGGAGGAGCACAGGCCCTGGTCCTGCCTTCAGGGCCGCTCTGCCGGAAGGGGAAGGTTGTCTGGTAGGGAAAGGAGGCCCAGCCACAGGGCAGACCGCAGCTCAGCGTCAGGAAGGACATGGAGAAAGCCAAGCCCTCTGACCTCAGGGCCTCCTACCTTGGAGTCCTTGGTCCCCATCAGGCCCGTCCAGGCCGATGCCGGTGGCGCCCTTGTCCCCTCTGTCACCTGAGCTTCCTGTTAGAAGACATTGAACAAGGACAGTTTGTGGAGGATCGGGTTAAAGGGAGAGAGTCCGGAGTGGAGTCAGAAAACCGTAAGCCCCTGACACCGGCCTGGCCTCCCAGCATCTGGACAGGGCACACAGGCGGGGCTGCTGCCTGCCTGCTGACACCTGCTCTGTGCAGACTGTCTGTGCTCGTCAGACAGGATTTTTGACCCAGGAGTACGTTCTAAAATGCACCTCGGGCCAAATTACTCAAATCTCCCTGTGTTCTCCTGAGTTACCCCTAACCCCTGATGGCCCTAACCCCTGATCCTCCCTAACCAGTGATGGCCCCTAGCCGGTGGGAGAAGTGCAGGAGGCTCCCCGTCTGGTGGTCCGCTTGCCAGCCTTTGCTTTGCCTGTGCTGACGCTGTGCTGACTCAGTTAGGCTCCTGGGGACAGAAAGCACGAGGTGAGAGTCTCTTTGGCCCAGTCTTAACAGCAGTGACCAGCTGTCTTCTGGCTCCCGTGTGTCACCTCACCTTTTGTCCTCACTCTGACCAGACAGCCCTGTGACTGTCATCGTCCCCATGGGTCCACCCACATGGACCTCAGGTAGAGGGGGACCATGAGCTGGGTGCTCAGACTGGCCTCTGCCGTGGAACAGAGACCCACGCAGAGCCTGGGCAATGTGCCTGGAGGGTCCTCACTGGGCACTGCGTTCTCCTGCCCGGTGTTGTCTTTTCAGAGAGGGAAGATGGGGAACCCCCAGTAACAGGATCCCATGTGAGCACCCATCTGTGAACCCCTCACTCGGGACTCAGCCCCCACTGCTGTCCTGGCCTGCCCCCCAGACAGAAAGCAAGAGGACCAAGCTCCCGAGGGTGCACATGTGTCCCCCTGTGGTGGCCCTAATACAAGTGGCCAGTGCTATTCTGGGTTTTTGGGTTTCTTTTTAAGTTTTTTTCTTTTTAAAATTTTGATTGATTGATTGATTGCTATTCTGGGTTTTATTATCATATGTCTTGAAATTATCCTCATTCTTATGTAGGGGAATGAAAAAAATCAGACCCTGATTTGACCTTTGCTAGACTTGGGGGACCCTTGTGTGGCTGTCCAGTAGTGGAACTGACCTGGCGAAGGCCGAGTCTGAAAGTCCAGGAGGAAAGACGCATGTGCCAGGCACTGGGTGGGCACTGCTCAGGGGAGGTGAGCTGTGTCTGCCAGACCCGCCCTTAGCCCCGCCGCCCCTCACACCGCAGTGTCAGCCTCAAGGCGGATGCAGGAATTCACAGGATGTCACAAGCAGACAGGCACTTTGTTGGATGAGCGGTGCCATGTGGGACTGGTATCCACGGGGTCAGCAGTTCAACACCACCAGTGTTCTGCTGCTGTAGAGAGTAACCAGCTGCCCTGTCTGTTCTCCAGGCCACTCGGTGGCTGGGCGTTGTTTTGGGTGTGGAGCCAGTGACGGAGGATCAATAACTTGGAGGTGCCGGGGCCCCACTCTGGCCCTGAGGCTGGCTGGACTGCAAATGCTCTATGCTGCCCCCGCAGACCCCAGAGCACCCTGTAACAGTGGCAAAGAAGCCACAGAGATGACGTCGCAGCTCCCACAGGGTCTGAGCCACGAGGACTGTCCACTTCCATAGTGGCCTGAGGTCCAGAAACCCCCAGGGACAGCCTGCTGTGGGGGCTCCGGGGGTTGGAGTCGCCTTGACGGTGGCAGTGAGTGTGGACTGCCCCTGACTAGCTGCTGAAAATGCCCCCTGGCGCCGAGCGCTTCTGCATGGGCAGCTCCTGAGATGATGCCCCCACCAGCGTTCCGTCTGCCTGGCGCTGTGTTTGACGGGTCCCTCCCCTGAGTGCTGCTCTGATGATACGGAGACAAGGAGGCTCCTAATGCCTTCCCTGGTACCTGTCGTAGTGGCGCTGTGGGCTGCGAGTTCAAACCCACCAGCCATGCTGGGAGCAAACGGTAGAGAGTTACTGTCTTGGAAGCCCAGGGCTGTGTGGGGTGGCCCTGAGGCGGACGTGTTTTGGGCGAGTCCCTGCCAGACTGGTCAGGAGGCATGGACAGTGAGGTTTCAGCACAGCATTGCTGAGGCAACAGTTCAAAGTACTGGGGGCAGGGGCGGGCGGCTGACAGATGGGGGGACATGAGGATCTGGGCATCTCCAGGCATCTGCCCAGAAGAACACCATGTCTCGGGACGCACTGACTCACCTCGCGGTCCGGGGTCTCCTAACTCCCCAGTGGGCCCTCGGTAGCCAGGGGGCCCTCGAGCACCAGGGTGGCCAATGGAGCCAGGAAGCCCTGGGGGTCCCGGGGGGCCAGCCGGGCCGGGCCTCCCGATGGAACCCGGCGCCAAAGGCTTCCTCAGGTGAGCTGCTAACTGTGCGATTTGCTCTGGAAGCCAACAGAAGAGGCAGCATGAGCATAGCACCGGGGGTGGGGGTGGGGTGGGGGGTGTCTCATAGCGCACCCCAGGTGTCCCCAGGGCCACTCACAGGCCCTCCTCAGTGGGAGCCCTGGGAAGTGCTGCCGAACCCCAGGGATGCTGGGCTCCCTCGTCCCGGGCACCTGTGTGCAGAACCGGGCCAGGAGCAGACCCTCACCCATGCCCATGGCAGACTGGACGGGCGGGAGTGGGTGGGCAAGGCTGGGGTAGGGGGCTCACCGCTGATGACACCCCCACACAGCTCACGGATGTGCTGCTCACTGGCTGCTTTCCCCTGGAAGTCACCGCAGGCCCGTCGTCATGCTCGGGAGGGATGGGGGCCACAGGAGACGCACCCGCAATCCCTCAAGGGCCAAGCAAACACTTACTGGGGCACCTGGTCTCCCTGTAATCCCAGGGGTGCCCTGGACCCCCTGGAAGCCCATAGGGCCTGGGGGGCCAGGGACCCCCTGAACACCGCTTGTGCCGTTGGGACCCTGGATGCCTTTGGGGCCCAGCTCGCCTCTGTCACCAGACTGGACAGAAAGAGGGAAAACTGGTGGTCAGAGGGCGGCTGCCAGCTAAGCTGCCCTGCCACCCCTGAGGGCCGGGCTTTCCTGTCCGGCCTAACTCCAGGCCTGGCCACCACCACCACGGGGTGCCCTCTGCACTCACCGCTCCCTTGGGTCCAACAGGCCCACTGGGACCCTGCAAACAGAGAAGGGCTTTGCATCAGTGCCTGTGCTGCAGGGACCAGGTGGGTGGGGCCAGTCACATCACCCGTCCAGCACTGCAGCGGGTTTGGGGCGAGGCTGGCCGTGGCAGCCCCAAAGGTGACTGTGGAGCCGGGCTGGGGTGTATTTTGTCACCACGCTCAGAAAGCAAACGCTCACACACATACCACCTGGTCTTTGGAGGCTAAGCACATTGAGACGTGAGGAGGGGGCTACTGCCGGGCAGGTGGGGCCTAGCTTTGGCTGGGGGCTGGACATAGCTCTCCTGCCAGGCCAGCCAGGGACTAGGCCCCTGGACGTGTAGATGCCCCCACCGAGCTTCCCACTTACCAGCTCGCCTTTGTCCCCAGGGAGACCATCAGCACCAGCGATGCCCTGAAAAGGACACTCCAAGTCAGGGGCTGTCTCCAGCCAAGGCCCTGCCTGCCCTGCGTAGCTGACAGAAATCTCAGGCTTCAGAGCCCTCGTGGCACAGTGGCCAAGCACTAAAGGCTGGCGATTGTACCCACCCAGAGGCAGTGACCTCTGGGGCAGTGCTGGGGGGGGTGGGGGTGGGGAGGAGGAGGGTGTAGCATCCAACACCAAGCAGCCCCGTCCTGTCTGCAGGGGGAGGGGCGCGGTGGTGGAGCAAGCACTGTAGGAGGGGCCGAGGGTTCTGGAGACGGAGCAAAGCCCTGAGGGTTGGGCAGCTATTGGGGTGGCCCTCACCTGGTCTCCCTTGGGGCCTGCTGCTCCTCCAGGGCCCTGCGGGCAGAGAGAAGGCACTGCGGGAGCTGGCTTACACACAGGCCTCCCCCCACAGTCACACAGCACCCAGGTCGTCCCCAGCCTGCCCTAGCAATGCCCTGTGGGCCAGCCTCCCCACACTCCCCACTGGCCATCAGTGCCTAGACCTGCACAGACAGGCGCTCCCCAATCCCCCCACCAGTTCCGTGGTGGGGGGCACTTGGAGAAGGGAGGGGAGGCCACAGCAGCAGTCACACAGTAACCGGCGGCCAGCAGCAGCTGCCCCACTGTGGGGCAGACAGGAAACTGAGGTCTGGGCTGTCGGCAGCCCCACAAGCCTTGGAATTTCCACCCTCCAGACGAATAAAGGGTCCGGTGTCCCCTCCACCCTTGGGAGGGGTGCCCACGAGAGAGGTACCCAACCCAGGGACTATAGAGCTCCTGAGGCCCAGCCCCTGGGGCCCAAGTTTCCTGGGAGGGAGGGGCCTCCACACCTCTGCACACACTGAATAGCAGCCTTGTCCCATTGGCTCCTCCCTGATCGCCTCAGAGGCTCTGGAGGTCCCCCCACCCCCCATCCAGGCTCCTGGGGTCACAGGTAGTCAGAGACAGCCCTCCCCACTGAAGCTGCCTCCCCATGACACGGCAGACTTCTCACCAGGGTGAGCACCAACTAAGTGCCATCCCATGGCCTCTGGCAGGGGCTCTGCTGTCTCCCTAGCACGGGCTCGGAGGGGTCCCAGGTGCCTTGGGCACAAGGAACAGGAGGACTGGTGGCTAGGGCACCCCTTGGACCAGCACAGCATGATGTTCCAGTGCAGCGCCCCCCTCAGGGACCTGTGAGCCCCGGACTGGGAGGGGCCATGCAAGGCCTATTCGGGACGGCCACTTACCCGCTCACCCACGCCACCTCGGAGGCCCTGGGGGCCTGGCAGACCGGGGTCCCCGATGCTGCCTTTCCTGCCCTGTGGACACAGTCCAGTCTGTCGGTGACCCCACACAGGACACACACACCACCCCCCTACCCCTGCTGGGCCTGTGGTCACTGCATCCACACCCACCTGAAATCCCCGCACACCAGGTGCACCAGGAGGGCCTTGTGGGCCAAGAGCACCCTGAGGGGAGAAGGGAAGGAGTGTGAGCCGCTGCCAGGGGCCCTGACACCAGCACAAGGGATGGGGGTGCAGCCAGGGAGCCGCCATTGGGGCCCAGCCGCAGGAGCCCATTGCCCCCCAGGGAAGCTGGCCTGGGTTGTCATCACTGGGCCTGGAGGGCTGCCCACCCACGGAAGACAAGGCTGAGAATGCCGGGCTGTGTCCCCCACGCTCTTCAGGGCAGATGGCCACACGTGGGACCTGCCCTTCACTCACCGCAGAGCCCCTGTGGCCCGCCTCACCACGCTCCCCTGGCATCCCCACATCTCCCTGTGAACACATGGATGGAGGGGGGCCATGAGCCCCGGCACACAGGATGGCTGGGGGTGGGCAGGGAGGGGCAGCCTCGAGCCCCATGCACACAGGATGGGGGGGCAAGGAGGGGCAGCTTTGAGCCCCATGCACGCAGGATGGGGGGGGGGGCTGGGGGACAGGGACAGCTGCAAGCCCCTCCGCGCAGGAAGTGGGGAGGGGCAGGTACATACAGGCACCCCAGGCTCTCCGGAGGGTCCGGCCTCGCCCAGCTCTCCAGCTCTGCCCTGTGGAGGGAGGGCGCCTGAGTGCTCCCTGCAACTTCCCCGGACCGCTGAGGCCCCTCCCACCCCGGACGGCCACTTACCAGCTCTCCTTTCTCTCCTTTGGACCCTGCTCGTCCCGGGAGGCCCTGCCAGGATAGGGTGGTGGTCAGAGGTGCAGCCCGACCCTGGCCGTGGTGCCCACGGCCAGGGGACAGACTGTCCAGTGGTGACAGCAGCCCTCATGCACCAGGGAGGGCTGGTTGGGTGAGCAAATACCTAGGTCTGCTCCCCCAGGGCCCAGTGTGCAGTGTCAGGGCCCTGCTCCACCGCCCTCCCCCCCTCAGCTGCCCTACCTTCTGCATCCACCCACAGGCCAGGCCTGCCCCCATCCACCCATGCTCACCGGCAGCCCATTGGGCCCCTTCTCTCCTGGGCCTCCGTTGCGGCCAGCCTCTCCCTGGGAGGACAACCAAGTGGAAACAAGTAAGATGAGGCCAGGACTCTGGCCAAGCGCCCCCCGCCCCCAGCGCCTGCCTCCAAGCTGACCCCTGGCAGGACCTGGCCTCTGCACTGACCTTCTCACCGTCCAACCCTGGCACGCCATCCCGGCCATCCTTCCCAGGCATGCCCTGGGGACAAGAGGACCAATGAGGCCCTAGATCAGGGTGTGTCCCTCTCCTGCAGCCTCCCTGTCCCCTCCCAGCGTCTGCCATTCCTGTGGGGGCCCAAGCTGTCTGTGGGGAGTGGGGGTGGGCAGGTGCCACTAAAAGGGGCGGCAAGGGCCACGAGGCTTCCACCTAAACCCCTGGGGAAAGTCTGCTTTATGGATGGGGAAACTGAGGCCAGGGAGCCAGTGCCTAGACTCGAATGCAGAGGCAAGGCCACACACAGACGGGCCAGGTTCTTCCCGGGCTCTGTGCCCTTGGGCCTGAGTCAGGACAGGCCGCCAGCATGCAAGGGGTGGTTAGTGCACAGGACCCTCTGGTGTGCATGTCTGTCGCCCCTACCTCTCACAGGCCCTTTGGAGAGGGCGGCTCATAAATGTGGGGTGGCCTGTCCAACACTGACCCCGTGCCCCAAGGGAATGTCAGCACTGAACCAGTGTGCTCAGAGACAAGCGCCCAGTGGACTGGGGCCCTGGGGAGGAACAGGACATCCACTCCAGGAGCTGATGCCACCCAGAGGCACTTACAGGCTCTCCGGCTGGCCCGGTCAGTCCAGGGATCCCTTTGGGGCCAGGTCTGCCCTGAAAGACACAGCAATTGGCAGCTGCAGCAGGAACAAAGTTGTTCCCCCGCACCTCCCACGGCCCCACGCAGCTCAGGACCATGCAGTGCCCAGGACCCAAAGCTTAGCCAGCTTGGCTCTGTCCATGTGCCAAGGCAGGGCTCGGTCCTTCCAGTGTTCTGCCCATCTGGCCCTGGTCATCACAATGGTCCAGAGGGCTGGGTCAGAGCAGCCACAGAGACATGCCAGACCTGGGATGGCCACTCAGTTTGCCTGTGGATGCCACACACATCCACTGTCTGTCCCTCCGTGGGCAGCCTAAGCCAGGCTCCCCCCAGGGAAGAGTCCACAGCCTGTCAGCCCATGGTGACCCCAGAACTCATGTGGGCCGAGCACAACTCAGAGAACAGCCAGAGGCACAGGGCACGAGGGGGTGGGGTGTCTCCCAGAAGGCCTCTGGCCAGACCTCACACCCCTGGGCATGTGCCCTCTTCCCCCACCCCTTGGGACCACAGAAAACCAAGCCCATTGCTCACTTACCAGGTCTCCCTTGGGTCCTCGGAAGCCCTCTGGGCCCCTCTCGCCTCGGTCGCCCTGGGAAACAGTGGGGAGGGGAACAGTCAATAACACGGGGCAGCCTGCAGAGTCCAGCAGTCCAGACTGCGGGGTGGGCTGCCGTGGAGCTGGGCAGGAAGCACCAAGCTGCCAGAGGCAGGGGCCTGTTTGATATCCATGAGAAACAGGGAGCTCCCAGAGCCCCCCGTTTGCAAGGGCTTATGCCCATCAAGGACCTGTCCCAGCTCCCAAAGACCAGCACAGCCAAGCGGGGTGGTGGGGGGGGGTGGTGGTGGTGAGGAGGGGGCTTTTCACCCCACACGCGCAGACACACAAACACGTACCACCTTCCCAGGTGCTCCTGGGGCCCCGGGGGGGCCTCGGAACCCAATGGGACCCTGTGGAGGAGAAGAGAGGGGGAGGATGGCCCTCAGATGCACCCTCCCCCACAGAGCAGCCCTGTCACCAGCACCCCACCCCCTCCCATCTGTGAACACAAACAGCACCCTCTTCTGCAAGTCGAATATGCCCCACCTCCCCCACATGGGGGTTCCCTCTGGCACATGGGGCGGGGAGGGCTTTCCAGGGCCAAGAAGGCCCTGCCCGACCATATTCCCCACAGCCCAAGGTCCCCTGGGAAAGAGGCTTTGGTCAGTGTGGGGTCTGACGAGAGGCCGCCCCCAGGCCCTGGTCCCCAGAACCCCCTGGAAGAGTGGTCTGCATCACTGAGGAAGACCAGCCCTGGAGTGTCCAGGTACTGGGGGGCTGCCCCCAGGAAGGTGGTGGAACTTACGCGGTCCCCAGGGGGCCCGAGTGGCCCTGGCAGTCCTCGCAGTCCCCGGGGACCCTGCAGAGGGAACCAGAGTTGCAGGATTCCCTGGCCATTGGTCTGTATCCTGGTTCCCAGCCGCAACCCCAGAGGGACCCCTGAGGGAGCTGGGCCTCCGCCCCACACCCTCAAAACTTGTGAGTGGAAGGGCCAGATGCTGGGGCCTGGGCTTGCTCCCACATGGGTCCACGGCTGAGGGGGGAGACTGTCCCCTGGGCCACCAACCTCACCCCTCTGGCCCTTACCTGCAACCCCACGGTGCCTGGGATGCCAGCGGGCCCAGGGGGGCCAGGGTCTCCCTGTAGCAGGGATGAGAAAGCCTATTAGTCTCACCCCACAGGGCTCACTGTCCGCCCCAGAGGACATCCCATGTCCCAGGGAGTGGCTGGCAGAGGGGTCACTGGTCCACAGGCACTTTAGCCTGTCTCCAGGTGGTCAGGCATGTCCACAGGAACCTCATACGAGTCCATGAGACTATCATCCGGGCCTCCAAGCCAGCAGGTCCCCCAGACCTCTCCCCTACAGCCACCCTCAGGCTGCCCCCAGCCCGCCCCAGCCCTGCCTCAGTTCAGCCCCACCCTCGGCTCCACCTGCCTCGCCCGCCCTCAGCGCCCCCAGCTCCGGCCCCTCCCCCCGCTTCACCCCGCCCACCCCAAACTCTCTCCATTTACCTTCTCACCAGCCTTGCCGACTTCTCCTTGTTCCCCTTTGTATCCCGTGGGTCCCTGAAGCCAGGCAGGAGAGGATCACAGCCCACCCGGACCCTTGGGCTTCCCCACTCTAAGAGAGGGGGACCCAGCCATCCCAATTGCTCAGAACACAGGACCAATCCTTGACCAGAGGGAGCCCAGCCCCCCACTGCAGGCACTAGGGTGCTGAGTTCCAGGAGCAGAACAAGAGCTCCCCAGCAGGGTTCGGGGACCCCCCTTCCTGGGCTAAAGCTTCTGGACCTCGTCCTCTCCGCCTTGCCCCCAGGTAGAGACAGCAAGGGCCCCCAGCCTGAGTCTCACCTTGAATCCTGGCATTCCTGGGGGGCCGGGCGGGCCTGGTGGGCAGATGGCAGGACACTGTTGAGCAGCACAGAAGTCAGACCCCTCCCTCAGCGAACAGGTTGCCACCCCACCCAACAGAGGTCAGCCGGGGCCTGAGAAGCACCAAAGCTGCCCAAGTAGGGCCCCTGGTTGGCTGGCAGGGCGGCTGAGAACTGGCCTCAGAGGCTCCCTGAGACCCCTCGCCTCTGGGCAGCCCTCCACAGGTGGCCCTGGCACCTGGCACTGTGATTACAGATCAGTCCTCAACTACTCGGGGCAGAGCCCTGGCAGCTCATTCACACACAGTGCCGCACAGGGACAGCTGATACGCTCTGCAGGCCCTTCAGGTTAGTAGTGGACAAAAGCCCACTCCCGAAACCTGATGCTACCCATCAGGAGCCACACAAAGGGGAGAGGCGAGGTGGGTCTCCCTGCCTGGTGACATCGGCTCCCACTCAGTGACTCAAGGCTGGCTCCGGTGCCACCCCTTCCCCACAAAGGGCTGGGCCAGAATGCGGGGGTGGGGATTGGGGGGAGAGGAGGGCAATTATAGTCTCTTCTGTGGAGCAGTGCTGGCCAGGGTCCCAGTGGAGAGGGCATGGGAAGGCCCTCTGCTGGCTCCTCCCCTGGGCTGGGCCAGAGCTGGGACCTCTCAGCCTTGTAGACCGGACGGCCTTCCAGCCCTGGCATCTTGTGTACCAAACCCCCTGCTTACCCCCCCAGTCCCCACAAGCTGCCAGTCCTGCTTCCTGTGCATGGGAACAGGCTGGCACTCACCACTCCAGACAGGAAGGGTGTCACGTGTCACATTAGAGGCCCCAGACAGAGGCTGTGGGTCAGGCCAGGCCCACACACGCACATACATGCACACACACATGCACACAAGGCGTGTGTATGCACATGCACAGACACATATATACAGATGTGCACCCAGGCACATGCACACAGAGGTATATGTACACACAGGGACTTGTACACATAGGCGAACACTGGCACCTCCAACCCCTCTACCATGGCTGCAGGCACCTACCTGCAGGTCTGTAGCACCTTCAGGGAGGACCCCTGGGTGTCCCTGGAACAGAGAGGGAGCTGATGTGGACAGGCACCATCCCATGGCCCTTTGCTCCCTCCCACTGGGCACCTTCAGCCTCCCGTGGAAGCTTCTAGACATCTCCTTCACTGGTCAGTGCTGGGGCCATGTGACAGACAACAGAACCCTCTGTCCCTGGAGAGTGAACCCTGGCGGCCTCTCTGCACCGTGGTGTCTGCACACCAGTGGGGCTCCTGGAGGCAGCCCGGCACCGCCCTGCACCCATGCCCGGCATATTCCCAGGAGCCCTGGAATCTCCTGCCCAGTACTTACAGGGGGTCCAGGAGGGCCTGGGGGGCCTGGAGAGCCTGGGAGTCCAGAGGGACCCTGAGAGGGAGGTTATGGCTTAGCTGGACCAGCCCACCTGAGGTGAGGTGACCAGCTATATCCCGGGAGAAATGACCTTCTCAGACTGTGTCCCACATGGGCCTGTGTGAGGGGCAGCCAGGCAGGGCGCAGGGACAAGGAGCAGGGAGCGGGCAGGAGGAGCGGGGCTGGGGCAGACCCCGACAGCGAGACAGTCCCTAGCATGCTCTGCTTACTGCAGCCCAGCCGCTGCCAGGAAGGGCACTCACTCACCGGGGGGCCTCGGAGGCCAATTCCACCTGGGAGGCCGCTCACTCCGGCCTCTCCCTGGGGGGAGAAGAGAGGGTCTCACCTGGAGTTGCTGAGGGTCCCAGGGTTGGGTTGTGGGATGGTGTTTTCATGTGGGGTGGGGTTGTTGTCCCGGGACAGCCGCCCATGCTATGGGACATCCAGGTGGGTTTTGGGTGGGGTAGGTCCCAGGTACTGTTTGTGGGGCTGGTACTCACAGGGGGTCCAGGGAGGCCTTTGCCCTGCCAAAGCAACATGGGGTCATTGTCTGGGGCCTCAGAGCTGCAGGTCTGCTCCAGGGACCCTTCAAAGCACCAGCCAAGGACACCCCCAGCACTGCCCAGGTTCCCCCAGCACTTCCCAGGCTGCCCCAGCACTGTCCAGGGACCTCCCAGAGGCCGTGAAGGTGAGCTCGTGGAGAATCACCAATTTTCATCAAGACAAGAGGACAGACTCACCCCAAGTCCGGGAGGCCCTGGAGGGCCCAGGCTTCCCTGTGGGAACAACATGGTGGCCGTCAGGGACCGACACAGGCCACAGGCAGCTCCTTCCCACCCCCAAGTCCCTCCAAGGACTCACAGGGAGGAGAGGGATGAAGCCCCTTCCACAGAAGACCAGGCCCAAGGGGGCTCCCACTGTGCAGGTGCTTGCTCTGGCTCAGTGAACCCCACAGACCGTGGGGCCAAGCCCCAGAGTACGTGGGCACCCTGTGCAGCTGCCCAGCTGTGCAGACCATCAGCCTGGCCTGGAGACCCAGGGCCACTTACCCGATCTCCAGGAGCACCTTTGGGTCCAGGGGGTCCATCCTGCCCTGTCAGACCCTGGGAAGGAAGGAAGAGGAGGGTCAGGGGTCACCTGGGAGCCAGGACACAAGCTGTTTTGGCACAGCCTCTCTGGCATCGCCACCCTGTCCCTTTTTGTATGGAGTTGGGGTGGGGTGGGGGTAGCTGGTGGGGGCCCACTGGGTGGGCTAGCCCTGGCCATAGACCATCTCCAGTCCTGGCCTTAAACCTGCCACCGACGTCAGGATGGACAGAGGGATGAACAGATGGCGGTGGGGACAGATCCAGGACAATGGTCCTTTGTTCTTGGCCGTGCAGCTGATGGCAGCTTTCTCCTGGAGCTATGGGCTGGCTCTGCAATCCCCAGACACCCTCAGGGCTGGGTTGAGAGCCAGAGGCCCCTAGGGGACATCTGGGATGGCCTTCTAAGAGCCACCTGGCTGGGTGGGCTCAGCTGAAGGACACTGATGGAAGCCTGCTGCCCCTGAGACAGCGGCTGGGCTGGGGGGCAGAACTCACGTCCACACCAGGCAACCCCGGCAGTCCAGCTTCTCCTGGTTTCCCGGCCTTCCCCGGGGGGCCCTTGGGTCCCTGTGGGGGGAAAGGATGCATGAGGCCCATAGCCTCCCCAGGGAGGAAGAGCCTGCGGCCACCTAAGAACAGCCCTCTGGCCTGCTGGAGACCTCAGCCAGGCCCCTGGCCTGTCCCCCTGCCCTGCCCCGTCTGCAGGGGCCGCCCAGGAGTGACTGACAGTGTCTGCAGGATGGTACTGTCCCACATTACTCAGTGCCCCAAGCACCCAGGCAGGTCTCTGGACCTGGCACCTGGGTGGGCGAGAACTGAGCAGAACCCACCTCGTCACCCAGGCACAGCCAGTAGCAACCCCAAGAAAGCCAGCCCCCACTTCCCACGCTCCCCCGCCCCCAGCCATGCCTGCTCCTAGTGCCCAAGGCCTCCCCTCAGGTGACCTCCATGGGAGGGCCCTCCATGACCACTGTTCTCAGTGGCCACACCGCCCCCAGGCCCCACCCCACCGGGGATACTCACCAGGGGTCCAGGCAGACCTGGAGGGCCAACTTCTCCCTGTGGCAGGATTGGAGAGACCCACCCATGACCAGGTGCAGAAGGCCCTCTGTCCCCACTTTCCCAACCCCGCCTGAGGGGGTCCCTTCCCCATCAGGGGCTGGGGCAGGCAGTGCTGAAGAAGGCAGAGAGACAGAGCTGGGTCCCCTGTGTGACCCCCAGAAACCTGGGGCTGAGTCACAAGGCTTTTGCATCCCAACCGCTTTGGCTGCCAAGAGGCCCCAGGTTCCAGCTCCCACCCACCTGGAGCCCTAGAAAGGCAACCAGAACTCTCGCTGGTAGCCCCCACCTGGAAGCCCCAGGCTACGTGTGTAGCATAAACTCCTGGGGCCCAGAAGGGAGCTTGGGGCTGCAGGGCACAAGGGAGGCAGCAGCTGAGTGGGGGCAGGAGGTGTGGGGCCTTGGGAGGGAGTTGGGGGCCAATGGCACCTGGGGCGACACAATGAGGAGGTACACCCCAGAGGGGGAAAGAGGGGACCTGGGGGCACAGACAACAGGAATCCATCTACACCCCCACCCTGCATTGCCTGACTTGGGACCCCACAGGTGACACCCCTGACCCCCAGCCGCTCCCAGCATATCCATAGCGCACTGAGCCCGGAGCTCCCAGAGACCCACCCAATGCCCACAGCCCTCATGCGCTGACCACCGTGTCTGGTCTGCCCCACATACTAACAAGGAGGATTTGTGCCCCGGTTTAAATCCTGATGCTGGCTTTTTGCCAAGTATACCCTCCCCCATCTGGAGAGGAGATCAGGAAGAGGGGGCGGCTAGAAGCTCACAGAGTCCCCTACCCCAATGGGGGAGCCTACTTACATCAATGCCATCCTTGCCTGGCTTTCCTGGGGGGCCCTGAGGGCCAGGGGGTCCTCGAGGTCCCACTTTCTGAAATGCAGAAATGGGAAGTTAGGGAACCCACCTCCCCAGCCCTTCCCCGTGGCAGCTCTCTGGTGTGCAGGGGGAGCAGCCACAGGGGCCCTGCAGGGCACCCCCAGAGTCCTGACCCCCGCACACCAGGGAGCCCCCCTCCCCACCCCAGCCCCAGGCCATCTGCCTTCCTCTCCCACCATCGCCTGGGAGCTCCCAGAACAAAGGGGACATTGTGTGCCCCAGTAGCAGCGGCCACGCAGGAAGGTCCAGCGGACGCAAAGGATGGGGGGCCCCCAGACTTGTCCTTGGAGCACCTCAGCGCTTGTGGGACACTTGGGGCCCCACAGCTGTGCACCCCGTTGGTACTGGGGCACAGGGGGCCTACGCTGTGCCTTGGAGGCTGGCTGGGTGGTAGGGCACCCCGGTGGTGGGAGTGGGGGCCGTCCCCTGGGCTGCGCCCCCCATGACCGCTCAGAGCCCCCCAGCCTCGGGTCTGAGGGGCTGGGGTCCAGCACCCACACCTGGGCCTCACCTGCGGCTCGGCTACAGCCAGGAGCTGCCCGAGCAGCA